GGTTGCTTGGCAATTCTTGGTCAGTCCCCGTTGTCTGTGCGTTACTCTACTCCTTGTTTCGTCTGTTAGGTTGGATGCCGCGGCTGAGTATTCAGGACATTGTCGATCGCCTCGTTCCAGGCTGTTCTGGTGACCTTGCAGGGTTGTTGTTGCGCGTGCCGATTCGCCATGATACGCGGGTGACGCAACCGGGGCCAGGCCTGGTCCGCAAGTTGTTAGGGCAGGTGTCGGGCCGACGCGGTACCATCGGCTGCGAGCTTCCCTCCCAAGCAAGTTGTGGCGCTGGCGCGATGTCATTGGTTGGAGGTGGACTGGTGACCCTGAACACATCAATGCCCTCAAACTCCGAGCAGTCAAGACTAGTCTGATTTGGCGTATCAAAGAGCTTAATGAAGGGCCGGTGCGATTCGTACATCTCGTGGACTCCTTGGTTGTGTTGCACGCCCTCTCACGTGGAAGATCGTCCAGTCGGAAACTCCGGCGAACCCTGGCAAAGATTGGCGCGTTGTTGTTGGCAAGCGGCTCAGTGGGTGCGTGGTCCTATGTGGATACGCACCAGAACCCTGCGGACCGCCCCTCGCGGCGGCCCATTCGACGGAAATGGGTAAGAAGGCTGCAAAAGTAATGGAGGGCCGTAGTCAACAACAGCGCATCAAAGTCAGGAAACAGCTTGGAAGCTTGAAGGGCTTGACGGTACAACCACGAACGCGTGAACGCTATCAGACTTGTCTTGGCAAATTTGTGGATTGGCTGGCAGGGGAGGGTCTTACCCTCCCAAAGCGTGCTCAGGCCATGGACCATGTCGTCTCCGACTATCTCGAATTCCTCTGGGCAACGGGTGAAAGCAAATCAGTAGCGAACAATACCCTTGCTGCATTACAGGACAAAGAACCAGGGCTTAAGCGCCGCCTTGCAGGTAGCTGGAGGTTGTTGAAAGCATGGTCCACTGCAGAGGTACCTCGGCGGGCTCCCCCAATGACACTTCTGGTTTTGGACGCTATGTGTGGCTGGTTTATCATGAAAGAGATGCCGCTCATGGCCTTGTCGTTACGGGTTGGTTGCTGCGAACGAGAGAGCTTTTGAATCTGCAAGCAAAGGATATCTTTATTCCTTCTCCCAAAGGTCCTGCTGTTCTGTCGCTAGGATTGACCAAAGCAGGTGCTCGGCAAGGAGCAGCTGAGAGCATCACCCTGCATGAAGAGTCCGTGCTAGGAGCCCTGTACCGTTGGAAACAACGTGCCCGTCCTGCTGAATTTTTAACCCCTAAGCCACATGCCTGGCGTACTCTGTTCAGCAATGCCCTCGAGGCATTACGATTGACACCCTTGGAATTCAGACCCTACAGCCTCAGGAGAGGTGGGGCGACGTTTTGGTTTAACCAACACGGATCTTTCGATCGACTGCTTGTCCAGGGGCGGTGGGCCGCCTCCAAAACCGCCCGTATATACCTCAACGACGGGTTAGCACAACTGGCAGATATGACACTCCCTAATTCGGCTCTGCATGTTTATGTAAAGTTGTTCCGCTCTACCCCAATGCTTGAGCCTGGGAAGTCGTGTACGCTTCCCAGGACAGGGGGACGTGGAAAACGCACAGTTCGAAAATGAGAGTGGGGAGTCTTTTTGCGTTTTTTTTCATCAAACCTCTAAGATAGAGTGCTCTGGAGGTTTCCTCTCTGAGGCACTCGAGCCTGGACATGCACCGGTTTGGCGGTGTTATGTTCAGGGGGTGTAGGGGGGCCCCCCGCCTCTCCTGGTTTGGCGGAGGGGACGGGGGGGTCGGGGCCCCGAGAGGCAGAGTAGTCGAGCATGTTATGTCGAAGTTTGACCAACTCTCTGCAACGCGTGAAAAGAAGGCGTGTGGTTGTGTTTGTTCTTATGACCCCACGAGTAAACACAACACTTTCCGCCTTTTCACCGTAGCATTGGGCTCGAAGGGCCCTCCCTTCCCTCCCTTATGCGGAGGTTCGAAAATGAGAGTGGGGAGTCTTTTTGCGTTTTTTTCATCAAACCTCTAAGATAGAGTGCTCTGGAGGTTTCCTCTCTGAGGCACTCGAGCCTGGACATGCACCGGTTTGGCGGTGTTATGTTCAGGGGGTGTAGGGGGGCCCCCCGCCTCTCCTGGTTTGGCGGAGGGGACGGGGGGTCGGGGCCCCGAGAGGCAGAGTAGTCGAGCATGTTATGTCGAAGTTTGACCAACTCTCTGCAACGCGTGAAAAGAAGGCGTGTGGTTGTGTTTTTATATATATGTACAATCAATGATTAAGTATTAGTACGAATAATGTATATATATATATATATTATATATATAGTATGATTCTATGATAATGAATTGCCATAAATGCACATATAATTATGTATTATGTATTATTATACATTATATGGTGCGGTGAGACAGTGACAGTGCCCAGCTTCACAAAGCTGAAAGATAAAGATGGAAATCCGGTTCGACCACGTAGACGCGCAGAAACCATTGCCGATTACGTTGAAGTTCCTTGAAGCTGTACAGTGGAAAACTTATGATTTGCCGCCATATGTTGCAAAGAGCCCGGTTATTCGTGACAACCTAGCTTTTGACCTTGGCCCCATAATTATGAGGGAACTTCATGCAGCTTTGCGAAAAGCAAAAAAACCACAAGGTTCCTGGGCTTGATGAAGTCCCTGTCGGATTCTTTAAATATCTAGACGATGAAAACAGACAAATCCTGTTGTCAGTGCTGAATGACTGGTGGTCTCATGGAAGTCTCTCTTCATATCCCTTCAGTTTTTCTCAATTTTGTATCTTTAAACAGGGCGCTACAGACAAATTGCTAATTACCGACCCATTTCACTATTGAATGCTATCTACAAACTCTTCGCTGAAATAGTCCGTTGCAGACTAGCTGAAGTCATTGACCCTTTTATGTGTAAGACCCAGTTCGGTTTCAGAAAACACTTTCCATGACTGATGCCTTATTTATCGCTCGAAGACTTCAAGACATTAGCGAAAGAAGTGAGGAGAATGTGATTCTGGTCTTGTACCGAGTGTCCCATCCACGCATGATGCAAGCCTTGGAACGATTGAAATTTCCCATCAAATTCAGAAACATTATTGCACGTTTTTATAGCAACCTGTCCTTTCAGGTGAAACACGAACATCCAGTCGAGTGTGAAGACGCAAAGTTCCGGCATAAGACAGGGATGCCCACTATCTCCCTTCTTGTTTGTACTCATCATGACTGTTTTCGCTGAACCACGAAACATATTGAAAATCAACGTTTTGGCAATGAACGTGCACAACCTTATCCGTGTTCGAGATGGCTCACAAATGAGACATGCCGAGGAGGTCACCTACCTCGGCGGAGTCCTGACAAAACAAGTAAATATCGCCTCCAAAATTTCCAACAGAATTGCTTCTGCTATGACAACTTGGAAGAGTCTGGATATTTTCTGGAAAGAGGAGCAACGCAGTTTAAAAAGCAACATCTTGATGTACAATGCCGTCATTAAATCAAAACTCCTCTATGCTCTGCTCTGGAGACCCTGGAGATTCCAGCTGGTGTTCTTTCCCGCTTGGAAGCATGTCAATTGAAAGGTTACGAAAGATTTGGGCATGGTTCCCACGTATATATATATATAACATATAATATATAATATATAATATATAATATATAATATATAATATATATAATATATATATATACTATATATATATATCATGCCAATACCAACGCAGAGGTTTCCAGAAGAGCAAATCTCCACATCTCCAGAAATGACTGTGGAAGTACAATCGTACCCTGAAGACTCGAAGGCGTGTTGGCTTCAAAACGACTCGGCCTCTCCTATCGGACGTTTTATTCAGACGTGTTGGCCGACCACGCAAACAGTGGAGTCACAACACTTTGGCTTTGATTGGGAACCATATCCGCCATAGCGAAGTTGACTTTAGTAGCTCTCGAGAGCAGCTAGTTCAAATCCTCGATGCGGCCAACAAGGGGCAATTTCAAAAGCTGCCTTTACCAGGTTGAAACCTGGACTTCGAAACTAAATCGACTCTCTAATTTGCACTTTTCCTATGTTGTCCAGTTCACACGGTTTTTTCTCACCCCCGTACCTATGGCACGCAAGAAGAAATAGAAGAAGAAGAAGAAGAAGAAGAAGAAGAAGAAGAAGAAGTGGGGAGACAGTAATATATAATAGGTGCATTTTGGTCTGGGAAACGACATTTTACCAGTGGCCCTTGAGTTTACAAAACTTTCCCCTATCCAACGTTGGTCAACCATTTTTTGACCCCAGTGTCTCCTTTATTCTTTAACTTTCCAAACAGCACACACTCACGGCCCGGGAGTATTTGCGCATTTCTTTCCGCGTTTTCTTTCTTGCACCGTCAGCTGGTCCCAAGGAAGGCTTGTTGCTGATCGCTGGAGTGAAAGCTGTGATGCGTGCCTGAATGACCACGTGAGTCTTGGGCAACAGCCAAAACAGGGGCCAAGTGAAATGATGAGCTTTGGACCAGGCCTGGTGGAGGGTCTAGAGCCACATGCATGATGCGGACCTTCTCTTCACAATCCTTCAGGAAAACACCGTCCTTCCAGGCCTGGAAAAGTCACTGGCAGCCTCATGACTTGGGAGATGCCACATTTGTTTCATCCGTGACGATGAGTTTTTCCGTATGATTTTACTGTAGAGTCTGCTTAGCAGGTGGACCCAGTGGCCGAGGTTGAGCCAGACATGACTTGGATCATTGTGAACGTGGAATTCAAACATGAAGATCACAGGTGGTTTGAGTGTTTGGTCCCCCCACACAAACTACTGGTATCACTCCCGGACCTCTGGAGGGTCTGGCGGATCTTGTGCACGATCCCTGAATGAAGCGATGAAATCTTCAGCTGCGCTGCTACGGATTCCTGCGCCGCGCTTACTGCTTCAAGCCGTCATCCGATGGCTCGATTTGACCCAAGCAAAACATGACCCGGTCGGCTGCCATCCGGGTCGTGTGGTTCACTGTCTCGGCATGATCAGGAAGCAGCTCCCGGGCATGGAGATTGGTCAACAGGTGAATTTCAAGCCGCAGGTGAAGTCCGGAAATGGGGAAGGGTGTCTGGAAATTGGGAAGCTTCTTTGGGTGTAAGTTGTATCAGTCTCCTCAGTTCATGGCAACAGAATACAAGAGAGATTCTTTTCATGTAGGTGTGGAGACAGAATCTATTAGATAGATAGATAGATAGATAGATATCTTCAACCTCTTGAACGCATACCTCTTAAAAGCCACGATCCCCCCCTCCCGGGCTTCCGCGGGAAACCGCGCGTGACCCTCGCCGCCGACCAACGCGGCAGGTGGGTAAGAAGGGCGTGTCTGCGGTGGATGTCCAGGTGGAAGGGACAGCGTCTTGGCGATTTTAGACCCAAGAGCAGAGTACCAAGGAATTCGAGAAAAAACCATCCAAAAACCAAAAACCAAACGAGTTCATCAGTGTATTTTAGATCAAGAAGCAGCAAATCGGGTTCAAAGAGGCTTTTGAGTCCATGGCAACATGACCTGACGATTTGGTTCATGGACGTGAAACCTTTTACGGTGTCTGGAGTGATGAATGAAACTGAATGAACAGAACTTGAATTTCAACTGCCTTTCAAGTGGAGGAATCTGCAGACATTTGTACGTTCACTCTGAGATGGGGCTGATTCTGATTTCATATGCTGAACGGAACGGAAGACCACTATGTTGAGGTGGAGCCGGACGAGAAGGAGGAAGAGGGAGGTCAGAAAAGGGGTGGGTGTATGGCTCGAATGCGAGAGTTGTGAAGGGTTTGTTGACCCAGACCATGTGGATTTGGCCTTTTTGGTCATGCTTTGCAAATATTATTGGGTGATTGGATGAGGGGCTTATGTAATGTTTTGTGAGCAAAAGATCATACTCCTCCAGGTTTGTTTCACCGAATTATGAACGAATCACTGAGAGTCCCTTCTAAGGAGGTTCCAGCCGGGCTCTTCGTTCCTTGTGGGCTATGGACACCCAAGCATTCTTTGGTCGGCGACAGCCGACCGTTGAATCCTCGGATGGGATGGAAGGTCTGGGATGGCGCCATTCATGAGCTCTTTATTTGTCAGCGAAAACTACTACCAGATGACATGAGACATGCCTGTGACTGGCACCCAACTGATACCTGGATTTTGATGGGTATTGACAAGTTGTTGAAATCAGCCAGAACACAGGTTTGCCTCCTCACAGCTGATTTATAGCCCAGCATCACTCTCCCGTTTGAACCTGGTGCCAGGTGCCCTGAACTATGTGGGCGTCTTGAAAAAGGTGGGAGCCTTGGCAGGGACCATGAAGAACCTTTAAGAATGGCTGGGATGCAGATGTAGGGTCAGATTCATGCAGATGAGGACCTCCCGAAAAGACGGCCGCCCCGCGTTCGGTCTCCTCCTCGATGGTGTCGTTCATGTGGGTGGCTGAACCAGCGGGAGGCTTCCCAGAACATGAACCACTCCAAGTCCAAGAAAAACCGAATGGGGGGCATACATTCCAAACACTATAGGCTCAGCTCACCGAAGCAATGACAGAACATAAACACATTCAAGTTGAGTAGAAGTGATAGGGGCACTGCGAAGTTACTTCACCTTTCTGTTTGAGTCAGACATGTCGAGTCAAGACGACATGTTCCTTCCCGACTGCCTCAACAAATCATACCGTCAAAAGTGCGAAGAACATGTCTGAGACATTGCTACTAGTAATGCCCTAGCTACTGGTAGCGCTCTTTCTGCTAGTAGCGATGCACCTTGCTACTAGTAGCTTCCTGTTACTAGTAGTAAGGCCAGGAGCTATGTTCGTAGCGCTCTTGCTACTAACAGCGATGCCCTTGTTACCAAAAGCGAGACATCTTCAGTGCCTGCCTCCTCAAGGACCTTCTGGGGCGTAGCTCCCTCTCTCTCACTACTCACTCCCTCGCTCCGGCTTTCGGTCTCGCTGACTCTTGCTCTCTCGAAGCGAACAGCAAGTTTTTCCATCCAAGAAGCACCTGCCGTCCATCTCTATCCATCCATCATCCCGGGAAACGTTGCAGTTGCAAGTGGACGCCAACAAAAAGGCCTTTGGATTCATCCTGTGCCGGGTGGCCCAGAGACGTTCCTGTTGATGTTGAGCAATTTTGAACATGGATGAACATGGTCGTGAACTTTTTTTCAGCAATTTGTTGGTACCACAGCCATCACAGCCACTTGTGCGGGAGGTGATGTTTCTTTCGAGGGGGAAGTTACAGGCAAGATTGAATATGCGGTAATTCTTCAGCTGTGTCTGACAGAATCATATCCGTATAGCGCTGTTCTACAAGCAGACATGGCTATTGGGCAAGCTTTGCTCCTTGGTAGTATAGTTTACTTATCGCTTCACATTCTGGAGAAGTTGGTGGATACACTGCCAAAGAGATGCTGTGGACTATAGGGCTAGGGCCTATAATATGGGAGCGTCGGACAGTGGTCGGGGCGCAGAATGGTCCTTAGCTGCCCCGCAAAAAGCCTCGCAAGTTTTGGGAATCCCTAGACTCGATTCACCACCTTTGACAGATTCACTAAGAGCTTTGGCCGAAGCCAAGTGGTCGGTGCCACAGATAGCACTGCCGAGCTCTCAGCTTTCGTCGATTTTCGCGATCTCGAACTCGTGTGCCGCCCTAGGTGAATCTGATGCTTGGGAGGGGGACGTCTTTGTCTCCAAGAAGGTACTTGAGAGTTGGGAGGCCCCAGTGGTTGGCCCTGAGCGACAGGCCTGGCTTTCATGACATCAACCATTTGGGACCAGTGAACTCAGCCATGAAAAAGAACAACTAAGGTTCCAGGGAGTTGGCCATACACCAGAGCCAGACAATCGTAGGCCAAACGGGGTGAATGACCGGGCCTTGGTGAATGACTGGGCCTTGGTGAGTGCAAAAGTGGCACGAAGAATGACCTCCAATTTCATGGACATTTTGAAAGAAGTTGTCTAGGCTCTAGACATGTCCAGACAGTAGACATGTCTCGTTCAGGGAAGCCCAACGAGTTTGTTGTCGAGCTTCACGTTCAACACCGGCTCGAGCTTCATGACCGATTTACACAGACGGATGCTGGATTTGGATGAAGAATTTCATGTGCAACTCATGGGAATTGATGTAGTATCTCCAGGACGTCTTTTCTGTTTAAAATATATTTACCCATGCAGTGCAAATGAACCTAAAGATCCATGAACATCTTGTGCTGATGACGCCCGCGAAAGCTCCCTTCCAATATCCTCTCGCGAGGAAGCCTCCCCTAAAGTTTCCCTAAACATCTAGAAGCCAAATCATTAGTGCGAGCGCTTCTTCAAGGAAACGTGAGCTATCCTGCGTCCATGCTAGTAGCTTAAGTAAGCTACTAGCTACCTAATCACCACTAGCTACCTAGCTACTACTAGCTACCGATACCTCTAGCTACTACATACCTCCTAGCTGCCTACCCCCCTCCGTACTAACAAGAGGAGGCCACAAGTCCCTCGTTTCAACCGGACCTTTTGAGGTCACAAGGACCTCAAGTTGGGAGACAAACTCCGTTTTTCGGTGAAGGCGACCGGATTTCCGGGCGACTCGGCGACTCGGCGGCCACGCCGAAATGTACGGCTGGGTACGGCTGGGCGTTACTCGGTTTTACGCTGGCTGGGAGTTTGCTAAAAGGATTTGGACCCTGAAGGGACGTCCTCCAGGCTGGGCACTGCATCCTCGTGCCACCAAGAAGGACAAGGTTGATATGCCCGTCTTAGGATGTGTTAGGCTTTAGGAGAGAAAAACATTCAAGGGGTGTTGGGGCGTGTCTTTGCATGTCTTTGTTTTTCGCAGGCAAAGCAAGATGTGTGCAACGATGTAGTGCTTGGGCATTTTGAGAAATTTGAGACTCTCTAAGTAATCTCGTGGAAGCAGATGATGACTAGGTCCCAGTCTTGGCCTGGATGATGTTCACCAGCTCGAAATTGGGGCAGCCCATACGCCGCTCGAGAACTGCCGGATGTCCCAACTATGGTACAGGCCCCAAACTAATGGGCAAAGCTAAGGAAGAACAATACTTGCTGACGGTATTTGGCCCCTTGGGATTCTTTAGTGACACTAGTGTGATGCTTGAATCTGGTGAACCGGTTCACCAATTCACCAATTTACCTAAAAGTCTAGGAACCAAATCATTAGCGTGAGCTATCCTGCGTCCAGTAGGTAGTAGCTTAAGTAAGCTACTAGCTGCCTAGCTACTACTAGCTACCTAGCTACTACTAGCTACCTAGCTACTACTAGCTAGCTAGCTAGCTAGCTACTACCTACCTAGCTAGTGGCCTACCCTCCAAAAAAAGAAAACAGGTGAAGAAGAACAAGGCAGAGGCGGTGAAGTTAGAACTCATCTCTGCGCCTGATGAAGACGAAGAGGCACCGAGCACCGTCCGACGTACGTACGAATAAAAACAGCGGTTTCAAGCGCGGAATGTGCGCTTCATGCCACTTCGGTGCTAGTGCTGGTGAGTCATTTCCGGCCGTGGGGATCAGGCCGTATGACAGCTTTCTTGAAGTCCAGTTGAACATCTTTTCATGATTTTTCATGCCATTTCATGCCCATATCGGACATATTGTGTATCCTACCTTTTCTTGAGAAGTCACGAAGTCCTTGAACTTGGTCTTTACTCCTGTGCCAAGTTACTCGGAGTGCGTGCTGATTCAGGTCTCAGGTCCTGACATGCTTGGGAGCATCAAATCCTTTGATGAGAGCTCAGGCGAACGGAAGGTGAATGGAAGAGACGTGGGCTTCAGCTTGGATCATCCTCCCCGCCCAAGCACAGTATGATCTGGTGCAAAAGAACTAAGGAACACTTAAACTTATGCATTTAAGTACAGACCTCTACATGGACTCTTCACTATCGACCGTTGCTGCCTGGTAGAAGGAACAGATGACCACTAGTAGACCCTCGTTTCCCCCAGGAAACAAAGAGAACGTCTTTAAGAAGGTCGTATATAAAAAGATTAATATCAACAGTGACCATCAGTGATACCCAACCCCTTTCCGTGAACCTGGTTATTGCGGAAAGACCACGGAGACACAGGAAGCAAACGCCTTTTGAGCTGAGCATTTAACCCAAAGTTATACGAGGGTGGCAGTCTGGTCCCACTTGCACAACGACGGATCGCAAGAAGCTTTTTACCTCAACCGCAAGAAGCATTCCGAAGTGCCACAACTGAAACATGGAACTCTTTGATGTGCTTCTATTCTCATTTGTTCATTAGTCCGGAAGCAAAAAACCTCACAAGCCAACCAGTTTGACCACTAAAACCCACCAAACCACCGGGTCTGACCGTCTTAAACCGATGGCTCTTCTCGGTCCTGACACCTCTTAAACCCACTCCGTTTTTGGCCAGGCTACGGATTCATCCGAAGCGCTCAAGCGATGGAGGCCTACAGCCGGGTCAGCCCAGCCGGCTTACCTCTCAAACGGTGGTGTATCCACCATCGGTATCAGTGCGAAAACCGAGGAAAGGAATACCCACATTTCTTCCGAACACGGGACAGCAGGGAATTTTCTGAAGACCAAAACGATCACTTGCTCCCCAAAAACGATGCCTTCAAACGCCCCACCAAATGACCCCCAGTTTTTTCCCCTCTCACTCACCTCCTCCCTTTTCAAAAGAACGGGGGTCCGCCGGTAGGCCCAAGACAAGTAGTAATTAATGCCCGAACAATGGTGGGTCATGTCACCATGGGGTGATGGCACGAGGAGACCGACACCTGCCGGTGACGGTCTGCGAGCGCGGCGGGTGTCGGTCGTGAAGCCGAACAATGGTAGACTGGTCGGGCTCCGAACGTGCGACCCAGGCGACCCAGGCGACCATATCACCATTCCATGAGAATTATTGATGACATGGCCCCATCATCCAATGGAACAGGGAGTGGGATATACGTGGATATAGCGTAAAAAAAGTGTTTGCCACTCGAGCCCACCAGTTCTGAAGAGGCTTAGGCGCTTTTGTTACGTGTCCCAAAAGGTTTTCTTGGCTCGTGGAAAGTCGGAGGGTACATTTTGCTTTACGAAGTTTGAGAGCGAAAAAGAGGGGCGTGGCTGGGAGGGGAGGTAGAATAGATGAACAGATCAAAGATGAAGCTGCCAGGCCTCATCAACTCAATTTCCGTGCTGGTCATGCCAAGCCTTGGCGGCCCGGATTGAGACGTGCACCAAGGTCGAGACGTTTTTCTTCACCGGAAGCAGCTGAGACATTTCAAAGTGGGTCCAGCTCTCAGCACGTGGAAAACATTCTCGAGCCAGGCATGAGGATCATGAACAGTATTTTAACGGATGAGCGAAAAATCAATGACCTCAATCACTCTGGACATTTGGAATGGTCTATTCTTTTCGAAATTCTGGTGTCTCATGAATCCCATACCCCTTCTGGACAACTGGGCCACCCATGCCATCAAAGGGACGGTGGCCTGTGGATGGATGGCCTGTGGATGGTACTGAGCTGATCACCAGGAGACACCGTGCAGTTCAAGGTGAAGCTGAGCCGTTGGGGTTCCTCAGGGCGTTGCACACACCGGCGGTTACGTCCTGCCGACGCTGGGGGTTCACACGGTACCGGGTACGCCCTGTCAACGGTGGCGCGTGAGGATAGATCATTGATATTCATTGATACTTGTTTTTGTCCTCAATGTATCATGTCCACATCTCTAAATCCGCAGGTTCCACTCACCCAAATGCCATGCGCAGATGCGCACATCATGCGCATTCTCCGGATCCTGGGTCTTGCGGTCTGCAACAGCTTTCACATGCTTTCGCCGTTGGGCGCGAAGCCAAACCCGGAACCCAGGCGATGGCCTTCCACAGGCACCAGACCGGTCGTGGTGCCAAAGTCGGGGTGGCGGCTCCCCCCAGTGACCGCCAGAGATGCTCCATGAAGTCTCCTGGTCTTGCGGTTCGGTTTGGGAAGAATCGTCGGAAACCATCCAACAAACTTGTGGCTGACATTGCTTGTACAACGAGAGCAACCTCCTGTCTGGCTTCGGCACTCACGGTTTGCTGCACTACAGCCAGACATTCAGCTGTGCATTAACATTTAAATGGTAAGAAAAGGAACACGTAGAAATGTGCGTAAGGATGGAAAATGGCCTCCCCCGGATTGATTTTTTTCCGTAGATTGAGGAGGTCTGCCCCCTTTTCAATCCTGAATGATCTGGAGGAGGCATGGCCAAGACTTATCTCTTCATGGGAAGGGATCCCAAATGGGCAAGCTGCCAAAGGCAGCCAACAATGAGTCAGCTGAGCAAAAGGTTTGTATATTTAGAGTTTTTTTGAAGAGAAAGGTACTTGATTGGCAACAGGAGCATAGGATCATGGTGAGATCTGAAAAAAGAAGGGGGTGAACAAAGGAGCATTCTTAAACAATATCTATATAATTAGAAACTAAATTGACAAATTAATTTGCAGAACTCTGCAAACGCAAAACCAAGAGTGGGGCGGAAGGTTTCCATCAGCAGGAACAGCAGCAACATTGCGTGCAAGCCAATCCCCTTGCATACAGCGCACATACTTATATAAATGTCTTCGAACATGTGTCCGAACGGTAAAACTTATCATATGCATCTGCATAATGTATCATAATGCATTGGAGGCCATCGCTAGTAACCGCTAGTAGGTTGGAGGCCATCGCTATTAGGTTGGAGGCCATCGCTCTTAGGTTGTTGGAGGCCATCGCAAGTAGGTTAGAAAGAACGCACCATTCTGTTTCTCTATCCAATACAACGTGGATTCCTCAAACATCTTGCGCGGCGCGGCCCTCTTGCAGGCACTGAAGCTCAGAGAAACAGGCCCGCTGGGGTGCATGATTTGGCAGTGTGTGTTTCAAAAGACTTCGCCAAATGTCACATGCGAAGCTAGCAGCAGCTTGAGAAATGAAGTTGCAAGCCCTGAGCATGATTGAGTTTTGAAAAACACTCTTCACTCCCATTTCCAGTTTTGGCCAGGGGTGGGATTTCTAAAGTCAAGCAGCCTTTGTGCGAAATCGATTTCTCTACCAATCTCAAGGACCGACTAACTCTGATTAGTTTTAGTGACTTGGAGTGACCTTCCAGTGATCTCCAAAACGAAGCGCTTGACAGATCAAGTACTTCCTCCTTTCGAGCCGCATCCTACAGAGGCGTTGGCGGGACATGCTCTTGGTATCTGTTGGTATCTCTTGGTATCTCTTGGCATCTTGAAGTGCCGCAAGCAGACCCACAACGAAGGCACACTTCTATTATTCATGAACAGGGTGGTTCTGGTGGGGCTACTTAGCCATTCACTGCTGACCGGGATTTCTCAACTGCAGTACAACCCGGAAACCCTAGCAATGAATGTACTAATATGTACCAATTCTCTTCAATGGCCGGACTGTTCGAGCTGAAGAGCTGCGGCCTTCCAATCTCTTCCAGACCCATCTGTTCAGCGACGGGGAACTTTGGAAAGTATTCCGCGGAACTGTTCAGCGTGATGAGAGCTTCAGCGAGAAGCGGGAGTTCTTCGCTGAACTTCCGCGCTTGAAATGTTTCGGCCAGGAGTCCAAGGTTCCGGAGAAAGAGACCTTCCTGGGTGAGATCAAGTCCTTCAGTCCAATCAATGGCCGCCGGGCTGATGAGATGAAATGGATGGAGCATTCTGGGTCTTGTTTCAATTGGAATGAAGAAGCTGCCATTGGGCAAAGCAAACATCTTGGATGAATCTTTCGAATAAGGCCCTTTCATTCCTAGCGTTGTCCAAGTCCACCAGACACTGTTGCTGTTGGTGCCGCCGCCGTTCTTCTTGGCTTTGAAGCACCGATGTCACTGTATGGTCATCCAGCCGGCAAATACGACTTAAAGTAGAAAAGAGTATCTTGGGGAGTATCACGCGGAGCTAGATGTCCCGCAAGGCTATGATTCACCGAGTTCTTTTCTCACTCTCTCAGTTTTCTTTTTCCAGCTCAAGAACTGCTGAGCTGTTGGAGTGCGCCGAGGATTTGGCTTCATCCAGAACAGCATCTTAAGGGAGAAGTATGGCAGGGACGTGTTCCTGCATGAGTCACAGCACTCAGTTCTGTATTGACCGAACTCCGTCGAAGAGGGGAACTCGTTTTCGACTACACCCCAGTCCAAGATGGTGGAGACGGATGAAGCGTTCACCCCTAAAAATCCTTCATCGACTGGCGAGAAACTCATTCGACTCATCCAAAATCACCCCGGCTTCCAGAGACCAGCTGACTGATCAGGAACAATGTGAAGCGGCCAAGCGGACCGCCTGCTTTCTCGTTCGGCCAGCCGATGCTTTTTCACGGGGCGCGTGAGCTCTTGGGTGTCCGTCCGCGAGCGAAAGCGCTTAGCCCGCGAAGCCGCGCTTCACTTGAGCTGAGGTCTCAGTTTGAAGGTCTGAAGATTGGAGATAGCCGGGCCGGCCCAGATAGTGAACTGTGCATAGAAGGAGCGAGAAGAGTCATTACAGATTTGCAGCATCCTTGCCAGCTTTCTGGCCTGTTCACCGTCCATGATAGGATCTGTGTTCCACGTTTTCCTGTTGGGCCACCACACGAACACAGGGTCAGCTTTGAGCTGCTGAGTTGCATATGACTTAGAGGTTGGAAGCTCTTGAGTTCTGGCACTACCTCGACCCGAAACGATTTCAGTGGGGTTTGAAAGCAACTTCTCAACCCAAAGACACCACGATCCCCTTCTCGAGTCTTCGATCGGACCCATGGCAGCATCCTGCTTTCTGCTTTGCACTCATGCAGACCAAGAACCGAAGCAGCGCACCCAGCATACCACGGGAGATCGGTTGGTTCGGCGATTCATTTCGCCCGTGCGAAACGAACTCTGCGAAGATCTGTGAGGTGTGCGCTTTGTGCTTCAGATCAAGGATGGAAAGCCGCAGGCTTTAGAGGTCAAGCGGGTGGCAGCTCAGCTGCAGGAGGGAAGTTTTTTGGACAGATTGAAATATTGAAGAGTGCTGGGATACAAGCTATGTCCAGCACAAGCTGGAACACCCTATGAGACCCTCTTAATTCACCCCACCAAGCTTGTGACTTGAGCCATGGTGGACAGGTCATCCATGGCTCAAGCGTCTTTGTTTCGGCATCGTGAACGATGGCGTGTTGCCGTACTGGGCAAACTGCCGGCTTCGCCCCAGCTTCGTCCCCACGTCGGTTGCCCGTTAAGAGCAGTTCTCGGAATGTGCACTCCCTGGAATCATCATGGTGGAAGTGGGCCATCGGATGCCACATCCGAAGACCAAATCGGTCATGTAGAACTCATGTGCCCTCCACTTTCAGATTAATTCCAGGAATTTTAGAAGTTACAGTAAGTCTCCTGGGTTAAGCTCCACATCTTGATGAAGCTTTCGGGAATTGTTCGTTCACCTCTCCGGAGAGACAAATCGCCTTGCGGCGAATGGATTGCCTCGGTCCCTGGTGTTAACGGTTGGATGCTTGGACGATCCTGGACGTGTTTAATTGTGTTTATTCTGTAAGCGGATGCCTCTTTTCGTGGCCAGGTCGGGATATCTTAAGACCATGATTAGCGACATCAACTCTCAGTCCTGATCGTTATGGACGATCAGGTGAATAGCCTGAGCTGCTAGAGGTTTGATTTACAATGCACACATATGCAAACATATTCAAACATTGAACCTGTCACAACAACCTGGAGATTCTGAGAGGGTGAAGCATATGAATTCTGCACCATGTGAGATTTTGGCATTGCAGCCACAAATGGGCTAGCTATGTCAACAAGAATTTAGGGGGCGAACCCCTGGTGAGCCCTCGGACATTCCTCTACTTTGATAGTCTTTGAGATCGAACGTCGGCACTCAGGGAGAATTTGGCCACCTCCGAAACCACCTAGACAGTTCTTCTTTTGGTCATGCCACCAGTCATCACCAGTCAACCACCAAAGATTCATTGGGGGGTTGGGTTGAGACGATGTGTCACAGACTCTTTTGCTGCTCCGAGTCCAAGAAGAGCCTCACCAGCCCATTGATGGCGAGCGTTCCCGCGCCAGAGGCTCCGGCGGCCAGGGAGCGCAGGGTTTTTCCACGGTTTCCGGGTGAAACTTGGAGTTGGTGTGATTCTTTTCAGAAGGGTTCTTGCAAGTGACCGACTGCCAGTGTTGAATGGAAAAACACCTGTGGAGCAAATTGTTACGGGTAGCCAGTTTTCCAGACCCGAACTGTCTTGCATTATACCATAAAGTAAAGCAAAGTCGTCATTGTGCTTGTCAAATCATTTGCAACAGTCTGGAGTCTTAAGTTCAGGTCCTGCAGTCTTTGAGCAAGTTACAGAGTCTCTGGAAATGATCCCCATCAGCCTGTCACTGTTTTCACTGCAAGTAGGCCAACTGCCTCCAACCTCTCCGAAAAGACACAGCAGCAAGGACAACAAAGATATAAAGGTATACTGTATATCATGGCAGATTGAGGTTCTTTCTCGTACGGGGTCATGGACATTGGCGCCCTGAAATCGAGCAAATTCGGCGTTGGAATTCGGGGTTCATTGACGACATTCACGGAGGACTCTTCCAAAATGGGATAGTGAGACATCCCAGTTCGACCCCTGGGAGAAACAGCACCCGTTGGTTTGGCTTGGGGGTCCCCCCTATTTATACAAACAAAACAACACACCCCAATGGTCATCCACATTTGTCTGGCACCTTTCATAGGTCCCTGCGATAGAAAGCGAGGAGCCGTGCTTTGGAAGGGAAGACGTCCGTGGTGCTTTTCTGAGGGCGTGTGGCAAAGTCTTCGTTTCTGGAGGGTGTAAAAAGGGAACCCCCTGTGGTAGCCGCAGATTTTTTTGGTTCTTCAATGCGGCTGGAGGTTCCTGAGGAGCAGTGATGGCATAGGTCTGATTGCACGGGGTGTGGGTCGATGTTGACCGAATCGAGATGCTGCCACATCGGCTGGAGTTTATCTTCCAGCCCGGGGGAACAGCGGGAACAGCGGGAACAGCGGCTGAAGGATTTGCTAAAAGCATTGATGCCACAGAGGAAGCCACAAACTTGAGCCATCCCGCTCTTCTTTGGGTTCGGAATGGTTCGGAGTTTTGAAGAAGTCCATGGCCCTTTTCCGGTCCATGGTCGCAGTCATCCAGTAGGATCCATCCTTTTTCTGGCGCAGGTCTTAGGTCCCGTTTGAGGTCCCATATGTGGTTGAAGACAGTCTACACAAAACGCTGGACGATCAGTCTGGGCCGGTCTCCAAGGTCTCCTGTGGACCCTGCCGTGCTTGAGAAGCTGCTGCTCGACGACGGGCCACATGGGCACATACACAGGGCGAACGCGGGAGGACAGGTTTTCCACGAAGAACGAAGCATCAGCTCATCAACATAAGAGATTTCATACATTTTGTGGCATCCTGAGTCTTATATAAGCAGGGTTTTGACGGTTTCCAGGGAAAAAGATGGTGTTGTTTCACACGATCCAAGTCTCGGGCAGCAAGCGGAGATTGACATTCTCCATGTGTGAAGACGTTGGAAGTATATGAGTAGATTTCTGAGCAATTGCAACTACTTGGTCATTCATGTGGCTTTTGCTGAGCAAGGGCAACTACTTAGTCATGTGGTTCTGCATGAGAGAGAGAGAGAGAGAGAGAGAAAGAAAGAAAGGAAGGAAAGGAAGAAAGAAAGGAAAGGAAGAAAGGAAGAAAGGAAGAAAGAAAGAAAGGAAGAAAGAAAGAAAGGAAGGAAGAAAGAAAGAAAACGTCGCCAGCACAGAGCTGCAATACCTCAGTTGAGGTTTTCGCGCAAATGCTGGTCACCGAAGGATCCATTCAACAGCATCCAATCTATGTCATGAAGGTTGCCCCAGGCCTACAACCAGGATATCGCGATGGTTTGTACCATGTTACGGACGGCATACTGGATTCTGCCATGAGAAAAACATGTCGTTTTGGTCCGCCCATTGCGATTCTTGGTTTCTCAGCCCGCCCAGCTTTCGCTCTGAGGAATCGAAAGCTCTTGAGAGTCCGTGACCTCAGTGCCCATCGCGTGCGTCTGGATCCGAAGGACGCAGCCCCTATCACCACCTGAAAGACAAAGGTGTCCCTCCCAAGAAGACGTGCGGCGAACAGGGTGGACGTGGCATTTGTTGGAGTCGTGGGCGACCCGTTGGCAATAGTTCCACGCAGTGGTTGTAATGCTTGAAGCCATCCGAACAACTTGCGAGAAGAGACAGTCCAAGAACGGGCGTGTCTGAATGGGCGCGTCTGAACGTTTTTTTTCGGCGTCTGAATTCGCGCGCAGCATCTTGCGCCACCCCCCAAGTGCGCCTCTCGGGCACGGTTCGCTGGTTCGCTACGACAAATACCACATCTCGGTGAACCGCCACAGGGCGACCGACGACTATAGGAACAAGAGGACGCTACGAACGTAACAAAGGGCATTCACCCAGGTCTTTGAGCCATGGAGGCCCGTTCGTAGCGTCCGATCGCTCCGTTCGTAGCGATGCCCTTGCTCCTCATTCGCCAAGCTTGTTACTGGATGCTACGAGTACTGGTGCCTTTTCTCTAGACCAGCAATTGCCTCCTGTACACCGGCTGACAAGGATACTCTATCCACCCTTCTTGAACTGAGCTGTTGCGTCACACGCATGTTCGCACTCGTCACACGAGTGCTGGCACACATGCCAATGCATTTTCCATGCGTCTGTGTGGAGGGCATGGAATGGCAGGGATGAGAAATGGCTTTTCAAAGGTCAGTTAGTCGATGCTGCAGCTGCTGACCTTTTCGTTGGGACCAACCTAGATGTATGTTTGGGGGGGTTGTAAAACCAATTTTGGAACCCCTGCAGCCCAGCCGATTTCCCCAGCCCACATCCTTTTGGATGCATTTTTGGGCGGTAAAATGCAGTTGGAAACCTTGCGGCAACACTGACTTCCCCAGTCCATATATTTATCCAATGAAGGCATTTTTGGGTGCTGTCCAATACATTTGGACCCCCTGCACTGCAGCACAACCGATTTCCTCAGTTTACAAAAATATTCATCTGAAAGCTTTTTGGTCCCGTGAAAATACACCCATCATATCCCATCATAATGATCATAATTTCATAACAACAGCATATAACAGCAACAATGATAATCATCATCATCATCGCCTTCACCATCATCACCAGCAGCAGCAGCAGTAGCAGCAGCAGCATCATCAGTAGCGGCTGGGACGTGGTGGGCCCGCACGCACCCCCAGGTCTACCACCGCGGACATGGGGAGCACACGAACAACATTCATTGACATCATCGGGACAGGAGCTGCAGAAAGCACGTGGTGGACCTTTAGTAGCACCTTCAGCATTAGCAGCATCAGCTGTTCCAAAACCACCTGCTAAGACCAGTGAAAAGGCACTTGCGAAACAGGTAGAATTCGTATTTGGGAACCCTGGTGGCTTGTGCAGACCTGAAATTGTATCCAGATGGTTGTGGATAGAGATTAAGGCCCCTGAAACCGGCTTTGCGAAACTACGTCCTGGCACGCAGCGTCACGCATGCTGCGTGCTGAAGCTCCGAAGTTCTTGCACCTACAGTGTGTGTGTGTGTGTGTCCCACCCTGGACAAAGGGTTTTCCACCACCATCCTTCCACAAGCAGGGGGCCAGCGCATGACATCACGACGCTGGCCAACGAAGCTAGTGATGTCATGGGATGCGGTCAGAGACGTCTGACCGTGTACCTGCTAAAAAACTGTTGACCACGCTGTCTAATTTGATTGGTTTGCTTCCATGGTGTTTCATGTTTTCTCCCCCAAACCCGCGGATTTCCTTGCAGTGCAGCTTCGCAGCTGGGCCGCGCCGACCGATCGTTCAGCAGACTAGCCGCCGATTTGCCGCAGTCACGCAGGAAAACTTTTTGTTAAAACATCTACAACTGCGCTGACTTTTCACCTTACCGTTTGAGCCTTTCTTACCCTCGGGAGATTGCATTAACTGAAAATCCAAGTTCGAAGTGTGTGTAAGTTCACCACCACCAATCATCAATCTGCACCATCAGCCATCATCCATCACCTTCATCCTCTCACATCACGTCCCTAGATATCGAAGACTCCCAACATCCAACGCATCGCCGAGGCCTGCGCCTCGGAACGGCCGAACAGCCTCCAGGAGCTCCGGGACAGCTTGGAGACGGGCGCGGAGGTCGGGTGTTCTCTCACTGGAGGGTGGGAGGAGGTGGGAGGACGTGACGGAAAGGAAGGACATCAGGATCAGACGGAGGGAAGGAGTGTTTTTAGTGGGGGCCTCTGTTGGATTGTGCTTGGAGTGGATGTGCGAATGGGAGTTGGTGGCTGAAGAAGACAGATGTTTTGTTGAACGCCTGGGAAGGATCGTTGGCACCGTCGGAGGTTTTGACGGTTGACTGTTGGGAGCTCTCCTCCTCTGGCCAGTTTTCTTAGAAGTGGCGATGTGTGACGAGTAGTGGGGAAGTGAAAATCCTCGAGTTTGAAGATGGTCAGTTCTCCTCAGCTCGGGCACTGCTTTTGGTGGGACATTATATTCTAGGAGTGCTACTGTAAGTTTTATCTTTTTATTCGGGGATTGGCAGAGATGTCCCAGAACTTCAAGGTTTGCAATTTCAAGACCACATGGTCTTGAACCCCAAGACTTCTCTGAGCTCCAAACACTTCTGGGTCGAGTCAAACCTGCGTTCTTTTTTCCGCGCCGGGGAGAAGCTGCTGGTTTGAGTTGTCTTTCATGCTGCCATTGCCCCTCCTCAGCTGCCTGGTGACATAGCCACCAGGTGAATGCCCGAGATGTCACTGGTCGGGACCTTACATAATCACTGCAGTCATTTTGGTTCAATAGCAGCGTTTGTGAAAGGTGCTAGAATGTCTCTCTGTGGCATTTTGGGACAGACTGTCAGCAAGCTGACCCGTTTCTCAGACAAACCTTCTCAGACACATGGCCCACCAGATGGCTGGCTTTGCAATGGATCTTCCGGTCCATGTGTGAAAACCACCTAAGGGCAGACCGCCATCATGGTGTGTGCCCTCAACATGCGGGGAGCTGACAGGACGACAGATGACCGGGCGGACTGAAAGCTCTGAAAGTGTGGAGTTGGTCGACCCTCCTGGTTAACTCCTTTTTCCAGGATCTGTGCTTTGCTAACTTGGGTCACATTAGAAAAAGGGCCTCGAAAGGAGGAAGTTCCTCGACTCATTCCAGCTGCCAGCCGGTCGATTCATTCCCCCTGCCGTCGGTGGGGGTTTGATAGGTGTCCAACCCGTCAGGCCCAAGGATGCTGAAACGGGTGGGGTTTCGGTTCGGTTCGGTTTTCGAGGGGGTTTCAGACACAGAAGACTCCCTGACAGCCCTGACAGCCGGAGTCCTGTCTTCCGTTTGACACGGGCCCCCATGCCCACACCGATCTGCAACAGGGCAGCTTTTGGAATGTGGGGATCGACCTGAGAGAAGCACCCTGTTTGGATTGGAGTTGAAGCACCCTGTGAGACGAACTGGGGCGCACCCCAGAAATAAATCGGGATCGGTCAAGACCTTGTTCGCCCTGGTCCACCATGTAGCGAACGACCTTCCAGGTAGATCAACCAAGTATATATATCCTGGAGTAGATAGAATGGACGAATTTTCAAAAAAACATGTCACTCATATATATCCTGGTTGTGACCCATAGAAAATCATAGAAAGGAAGAGATCGCAGACTCTGCGAGTCAGGAAATGCAAGCTGCTCATCGAGCATCGTGCAGACGTTCTGTTGCCCTCTGACCAGCAGGGGCCGGGATTGCCAAGCGGAAAAGGTGAGAGCAGTCCTTTTCGGATGAAACACAGCCTGACACTCGTCGGACCATGCAACCTTTGAGCTGAAACCAACATGGTGTCCCTGCGCCTAGGAAGGCACACTACCAAAGTATCGATTTGGTTTTGACACCAAGAATTAAGCATCTTAAGTTTATATAGGAACACTGAATCTACAAGAGACTAGAGAACAGGAGGGTTTGCCATTGTTTCGAGTTGATTAGGGCTGATTTCCGAAATCTTGGCATGCTTGGCAGGGGAGCACTGATATATCTCAAGCATGAAGACCTATGACAACCCATGTCTCAATCAGTTCGCTGGGGCAAGTCAATTTTTTTTTCGAAAGCAAGACATGGCGCAACAGTCGTCCTGCCCGGTCCTGCCAGTTGAACTCGCGGTCCACCGGGTTGCTCCTGCCCGGTCCTTCGATGTCGGTCCTCAAAGGTCACAGACAACTCTGCAATGGGTGAAAGAGCGCATCAATCCGAGCTTCGCCGAGTACCTTGAGGCCGAGTGGAACACGCTGGGTTTGAGTGGAGAAGAACGAAAGAGTGGTGAACACGAAAGAGCGAGCGGTGGTGGTCTTGATATTTGGTGCGAGTGTTCACCACGGCCGATTGAAGGCCGATTCGACTTCACGGGATCGACACGACCGGGATGGACCGGGGCTGGATACGTTTGGAGGTGACCGACGTAAGCTTCATAGCTTTATATAGGCCTGCCCTCGCATCTTCCTCATATGAACCTCTGATAGGCTGTCATCTTCAGGTGACTCAATACTCAAAGCCTACTAGTAGAAGTTACAAGAATCTCCGTGCTTTGACTTGCTCTGAAAAAAGCATCTTGAAGAAACGGCTCCATCATCCCCAATCATGCCCCATGGTAAACGCATCCGGTTGTCACCAGACAGGTTTCACCGAGTGGTACCAGGTTTGTTTAGACTGGAGACCTCATGTGAGACCTTTGAGCAGATTTTTTCCGTTATTTTGGTGTGTTTTTTGGTGAAGCGATCCACCTCTTTGTAAGCATGTTTTCACCGAAACATCCGACCCTAACGGCGACAGCTAGGCCCTCTCCAAGGGCGAGGCTGCAAGCTTGGCCGGAAACCCCAGGTTGGTGGCCACCAGAGATTCGTTGAGAAGGTCTTAATTCTTTCCATGCTGACATTCACTTGGTGATTGGCAGGGTTTGCAGCGGGTTTGCAGCGGGTTTGCAGGGTTTTAGATGGTTTTAGGTATTTAAGTATTTGTTGGAGTGCAATATGTCTTTCTTTTGAAAAGCCCTGTGGAGGAAGCTCGTCGTTGATGTGCAATGTGAGGTTCTTTCTAGCACTAGAACTTTGCTTGGACATGACCTGTATGTAGCAGAGGCAGAAAGGCTTTCTGTCGCACATCTCTCGAGGTCAGTTTCACGTCGTGGAACGATTTCTTTACACACCCCAGCCAACCCGGCGTCAATGGAACTGT